TTTACAATAGGAAAAATGTTGGAGTTGCCTAAATTCTCAGTCATATAAAAACTGATTAAGTAAACTATAATATATTCCTAGATACAGTGTTAATGTGGCTTATTAAAAATACTGATTAGGGAAAGTATCTAATAACACAGAGAATTGATTATGCAATGTTAAAGAAGATATGAGTATGAGTAAAGAAACTTTACTTTTTATTACTCACATTCCTTTGAGAAGGATTATACTGAAATAGTACCTATAGTTGGTTTTTGTTGGCAGACTTCATTTTCTTACAACATAAAATTTTATTATGACTTCCAGGGAAGAGAGGAGCACAGGTCACTGGGTCCCAGCCTCATGCCAGTGTAGACAACTTCCCAGTGCAGTCATCCACCTGACTCACTTTCTGACAAGGATGCTTGCCTCACTACTGGATGGCTTTCAACTACTACTGAGTAGCTTTCAACTAGAGTTATTGCTGCTACTGGAGTGAAATCTGTTTCTCCCAGTATCTTCCCCCACCCTCACTGGCCCTAAATCTGCTCTCTGCTGCAATGGTTAATGTTCTTGGCTGTAGGCTTTACTGAGTCTCTTCTTGGACATGGGAAGATAAGTGCCTGCTTTGGGAGCCCCAAGACTCCCCTTGTATGATCACACTGAGCCTCCAAACAAAGTCAGAACAAAGTTTCATCTTTCCTTTTAGACAGCGTTCTTCAAGCTTTGAAAATTCTGTTGTGGTTGTTTTAGTCTTTAGTTTATGGCCATTATCTCTGTTAGAGTATAATGCTCCCTTCCTCCCACTCAAACCTTAGAGAAGCTAAAGACTCCATTTATTTTCATCACACAAATTATAGCTGACCTTTGTACAACACAGGTTTGAGCTGCGTGGGTTCATTTACACATAGGTTTTATGAAAAATTTAATTTTTTTAGAGAGAGGGAAGGGAGGGAGGAAGAGAGGGAGGGAAACATGGATATAAGAGAGAAACATCGATCAGTTGCCTCTTGTATGTGCCTTGACCAGGGACTGAACCCATAACCAGTCATGTGCCCTGACTGGGTGTACGTAGGTTTTTAAAAAATAAATATACTGTTGTCTCTCTGTATCCCAGGTTTTGCATCCACAAATTAAACCAACTCTGGATGCAGAGGGCTGACTATATGCATCATTCTATGCCTTTTTATATAAAGGACTTGAACATCCTTGGATTTTGGTATGGGGGGTGGTCCTGGAACCAATCTCCATCAGGTACTGAGGGATGACTGTAAAGGTGTGAGGGAGTGAACAGTTATGTGTGGATTTACAACTGAGCAGGTGTAGGCTCCCTTAACCCCACATGGTTCAAGGTGAACCGTAGTATGAACTGGTTTCAGATTATTTCCTGATACTGGGTTTTGATGGGAATAGAATTAAAACACATGAGGATGTGATGGGGAGGAGAATCTGAGGAAAGGGCACAGGAATATGAGAATGGGGGACGTACTTTATAGTTTGTAGAGGGTTGGCAGCTGGCAACCTCCCTTAGCTATTGCCAAGATGTTGGATTATTCCAACCACAGCTAAGAACTTTCAGAGGGGGGTGTGGATTCGGTAGGATTCAAGGGTTCTGCACTCATTGAATTCTCATCATTTTCTTTCAGAGACCTTAAGAAAATACATATTCTAATACTGACCTTTATATTTTCTGGAGAGATCAGGTTAATATCAATTCAAATGATGAATACTCTGAGTCCACAATAGTATTTTCCCTGGCACTAATGTCTTTGTTTCTATTATTGCATTTTGCCCCATCCTTCCTATTTTTCTTAGCTTTACTAAGTAGGCAGTACACAACAGGGACCATTTTATTGGGGTAAAAGAACCCCAAAACAACAAAACCAAACCAACAAGTAAAATAAATCTACAGACTTTAGGAATAGCCAGGGTATAATCTCTTATAAATAGTTGTAGTAGAAGACATTCTTGCAAGGCCTGACAAAAACTGGCTATGATTTCTGATAAGCACACTCCCCATTGCCATTGTCTTACATTTGAAGAGAGGAAAGGTTCTACTGCCAATACCTTTTAATGCCTATCCAGTGTATGATCGTCACATGGGATTCAGAGAGGGAGATGGGCAAGGTCAGTGAGATAGGAAAGCATTATGCCAAAATTCTGGATAGATTTTTTAGATTTTACTAAAGTACATGTAGAGCTGTAATACATACTTTCTAATAATTCCCTTAACTCTCAGCCTTCTTAATTCCCAACAGAAAATGTTCAATCCATGAAAATGATCAGGTGAAAGTCTCCCAGTCTCTGTCTTTGAGCAGGTGTTATATGTGATTGATGGATCACAATATGGGAATGTCTAAGAAGCTGATTCTCATGCCCTGCCCTGGCGGATGCTTCCTGGGTAGTTGGCAGTTGAGACCCACATCTGTTTTGAACTGGCCCAAAGCCAGTAGCTTTTGTTCTCTGAATTGGAAAGGAACTCAAATGTGGGATGTTAGGGGTACAGGGAACCACAGGATATAGACATTCTGGGTTTCTGGTGCCTCATAAGGAAGATGCATCTGTTGGATGAGGCAGCTGGTGAGAAAACTGAGTCAGCAGGGGACATGAGTAGTCTCCTAGCACTCGGGTCCTATCTGCCCCACAGCTTTCTACCTCTTTCTTAGAACACAGGCTTTTCCAGTTTTATTAGTCAATCTGTGTAGTCAGGTTTGACTACAGGGATCAGAGTGAGGTCATAAACAATGCTGAACGAGGAGATCCTTCCTCCAGATGTGATGGAGACTAGATGGCTTGTAGTGTGGAAGGCAAAAAGCATGGCAGAACCATTCTAATCCCTCCTGGCAAGAGATTTATCTGCACTGATAGTTGAGTTCATTAGTGTGTGTAGGACAAAACCTCAGTTTTTATCACTAAATAAAAATTGTTTCTCTATATGCAGAAACAATGTATAGGAACTGGTAGAAATACAGGGTCTGGCACAAATAATGTTCCCTTTTAATTATAAAATCATAAGCATATAATTCCATAACATAACAATATCACACTCAAGCACACCACATGACATTTTAGGTGAAATGTTCAAATTGCTGTCCATCTCATGTGAGACATTTATATTCTCTACCAACCACATCCTAGCAAGCCTTACTTCTGCCGGACCCTGTATATCCAGGTGGAAATACAGTGTGATTAGAGACCTGTTTAATCATAGCTTTTGGGTTCTGCTTTAGAGATAGAAAAAGATTTTCCTCTGGAGTCAGATTCACTTACTTTACCTTGAGCCTTTAGACTAACCCGAGATTATGCTGACTTGTTCCAGATTATTTTTGAGTAGACTTGGTCTGCCATAAATACATGGTAGAGTGAGGTATGGTATTAGGGGAACAAAAGTAGACCAGAGTTTTGGAATTGTCTGAGGTGACAATGTTTCTTTCTTCCATTGAAGGTGTATGATCTGGACAGCTCCCATTAGTGCCCACAGAACCGGTGCATTCAAACCATTGCCCAGGAGCTTCACAGACTTCATCTATCCCATTGAATCAAAGTTTAGCTTGGAGCCTTTACAGGAGTGATATGTAAATAGACCGACCTTTTCCAATGGCAAATATAGTGGTGAAGTAGCTGGACTTGGATTTAGGGAAAAACTTCTGAGTCAGGCACCTTCAAGAGCTGTAACATCAATGGAGTTCAGATGCAGTTCTAAAATGCTACTCTGGGGACAGAGATCTGAGAAAAATGCCCCCCAGTGGCACAAGGTGGTGTTAACTTTCAGACCTGCATGTGTCATGTGTGGGGTAGGATGGAGAAGCAAAAACAAAAGTAGGAAGGGACCTGTTTTACATCATTTCCCTGTTGAGATGCAAAAGGTTTGGGAACAATCCTTGCTGGAGGATTTAGGACTCTGGTGAGGGAGGCTGCGAGGAAGCACTGGGAGTTAAGAAGTTTGTAGAGTATCAACCCTCTGTGAATATATTTCAAAGAAGAAAGTGTAATTTTATAAAGTGGAGGCAGAGGAGTCAAGATTAGAGGAAGATATTTAGAAATAAATGCTGCAGCAGACACTAAGAGAATGATTGGGTATAGAACTTTAATGATGAGAACATTTTTACTGATGTAGTACTATCCTAAGGTAGCCCAAACGTGAGCCCTTTGCTCTCTATGGCTGCCTGCTGTTATCCCACAGAGAAATGGAAGAGGAAATCTCTCCGTAGAGGTTTCTGAAGAAATTAAAAAATTTAACTAGTACATTGATCTTGTAATGATAATGAGAAGGCATAGGCAATCCCTTTGGGAGTTAGCTTCAAAGGGAAATACTAGAAAACACAAATAAACTAGAGCAGTTATAGAAAAAAAGGAAAATCCATGCTTAATGAATGGTCAGACTTAACACAGCTTAGAACATATAATTTTCTATCAGAATATTGATAATAACATTTCAGTGAACTTGGGTCTGGATGCCTTGTGTTGGGTAACAATGGCAGCTGTTGTTTTGCCTGAGTTCAGTCAGGAGACACAGGGAACAATTAGTCTGATCCCTGATACTGTTGTTTAGCACAGCCTTTGGCTCAGAAACACATTGAGATGTCTTGTGTTTTTCATGTTTTGTTTTTGTTTTTTGGATGTTGTACAGAGCCGCTGTTATACCTGAGGACCTTGCCTTTTCACCCTGTGTATGTGTGATGTGAATATATGTCACCGTGTGGTGACACTGATGACTTATTTGTAAGCTTTGCTTAGGACCTAACTAACATCAGTACCTCAGGTAGCTTACAAAGTTGGATTCTGAGGCTCTAAAATAGGAATATAGACTTTCTGGTCTTTTTCTCTCTCCACAGATATAACCAGATAATCCTCTGTCTGGGACTTGGGACCCATGTTATTTTTTGTGAAAACATTCTCAAGAGTTGTTTTAGAAAACCTAGATAGGTGTAAGACTAAAGACAAGCCACAGCCTGAAGCTCAGGCTGCTGACTTGAGCACAGATGGGAGAATAACAGCCAAGAAATATGAGGTCTTTGGCTCCTTTCCCAGAACTGCCAGGCTAAGACCTTGGCAGAGATTCAACAGGAAACTGAACTCTATTTGCATATCCTTTTATACATGGGAGATTAAAAGCTTCAACCTTGAGTGATCATAGTTTTTGAGAATCACAATGAGGCATTAAGGAGGAGGAGTGTCCCAAGGGAGATGAGCTGGAGTTGAATCAAGGTAGGTGTGAGGTTAGCAATGACTTTCAATTCCCTTTGATTAATCATGAGTGTATTTCATTTAGTTCTTTTTTAAATTTTATTCTTATTGGGTCAAAGCTGGGCGGGAATCTGTGCTTCCCAATATTGGGAATCTGTCAAATTTGATCTCCTTTGTCCTACAACTACTTCCTTCTCATTCTTACTGGATAGAGACCTATAGCTTATTAGTGCTGAAGGAAACTTAGAGATCAACTAAAATAAACTCTCTATTGTATAGATGAGAATCTGGGGTTCAAAGATGGTAACTGACTTATCTAAAGTCACACAAAAAGAAGTAAGAGTTTTGACTCCCAAACAAATCTTTTTTTTATTCAACAGGTTGCTAGCTCTTCTTAGCAGGTGAAAGTTTCCTTAGATCTCAGATTGTTGCTTTCCAGCAGGTGGTTTAGTGCAGATATTCTCATAATCTTCTCCCATAAGAACAGGCATTTCTGACACAGAGGAGCTTTGAGGACCGAAATGAGGCTATTTGTCGTTGGGATTGATTCATTTTGTTCATTCATTAGGAGTTCATTCATTTTGTTTTCTTGGCCCAGTACCATAGTAAGAACTAATCCCATGTAGACAGCATGGGCAGAATGAGGATGGACAAATGCCATGCCTCACAGGTTGGTAACTAAACTTTATAGCTTCCCTTTAAAAAATATGCTCCAGGTAGGAAACAGCTCTGGCCACCAACACAGGCTTCAGGCTAGGATGAGCTAAGGACTGTACATTTATTTGCTTTGCCCCTGACTGATATAAGAGCAATACCACCATGCAGGTGTCTTCTTACTCATTGCCAGAGGGTTAGATCTTCCTTTTTAAGGATGGGAAAATATCTCTCTATTCCTAAAAGGATACATTAATTAAATGTATCCTGAGACTGGGGAGGTCCTGCAGGAGAGCATCCTCAAAGCTGGATAAAGCTGAACTTTCTGAAAATTGAGACCGCCTAGTCCAGCTATTATCTTCAACATCTGAAGCAAGTCTATTGGAAAAAGATTTGGCATTAAAAATTCATTCCCCTTGTTGCTTCTGGTAAATCTGGGACTGGCCTAGACCACCTTCATCTGGTACAGACAAAGGACAATAAAAACACAATGTATTATTGGGAGCCAGATAACCACAATAATGTACTTGTCTTTGAGGCTTTCACTATCATTAATGCGGGGAAATAATTTAGAGAGGTTGTCTGTCAAGAACATTCATGTTGAGGTATTTTTATGAAAAATATACTGGAAGCAATTTGGATTTCTTGTTTTGGAAAAATAGTTGTACTCATTGTCAATGTTCCCTCTCATTCAGTATCTTTTATTCTTTTCTGGGTAAAAACCACTCTCCTTCAGACCATTAAGAATGGAGGGAATGAAGTACTAGCATTACTGAGCACCTCTGGTGTACCAGTAACCCAGGTGCACCAGGTTCTTTCTAACAGTGATTTCATTTAATCTTTGTAATGACTCTATGAAATAGGTATTATTATCTCTATTTTGTGGGTGAGGAAATAGAGGTTTAGAGAATTGGTAAGCAACCTTGCTCAGGTCCCACAAGAGTAGATGAAGAACTGTGATTCTTACCCATTTTTGTCTGATTTCAGAGCCCATGTTCTTTCTACTACTAAAAGAACTCACATATAAAAACAAACTTATAGACCAAAATGTATTTTTTAGACTAAAATTTTCAACTTGTTCATTTTAAGATCAGTGAAAGGACCTCGCCAAAATTAAGGACAATTTTCAGATTATTGTTTTAAAATTCGATGCATAGCCCTGGCTGATATAGCTCAGTGGATTGAGCACGGGCCTGCGAACCACACAATCACAGTTCGATTCCCAGTCAGGGCACATGCCTGGGTTGCAGGCCAGTTCCCAGCAGGGGACTCACGAGAGGCAACCACACATTGATATTTCTCTCCTTCTCTCCTTCCCTTCCTCTCTAAAGATAAATAAATAAAATTAAAAAATAAAATTCGATGCATATTAATATTTCTGTGAATGATTTAGCTTATTTATTTTTATGTTATTTTGACCATCTGCACTATCTTGCCACCTACTTAAGAGAGAAACATATACCTACATAAATTGTGCCACAAAACTTATTGTTAGCACACTGAGGATGTTTTCATCCATCTTCAAATGTAGGAAGGATTACAGAAGGTAGTTATCTGGAACTTGGACAAAACCCCACTCCCTTCTTTCTTTCAGTTCTGCAGACATGTTTTGGTCTCTTTCCTCCAGTGTCCTAGAATCAAGGGCTAATAAAAACTGTGATGGACGACTAGCCCCACCCAAGGGCAGGTGTGAGTTAGACATTCTGACCACCCTGGCATTCTTCAGAACTGCCCAAGAAGACTTCCGGGAGGGTCACTCAGGACTGCTTCCTTAGGGTCCCTCCTCACCCTTTGGTCCAACCAGATCTGGATGCAGTAAGTTGGAAGTTGAAAAACACTGGGAAAATTCTAAAGGTTCAGAGTGAAGAGGTTGTATTTCATATAAGAATAAGAGTGTATTTGGGAGAGGAGGTCTATGGGCAATGGGAAGAGAAGCTCTGACATGATCTAGCCATCTGTGACACCAGTGTCAGATTCACACAGAGACTGAGAATGTGGAACCAAGGCACACAGCCATTTCCTCTATAACCCACCGGGTCCAGTTTGCATTGATCTGCAATCAAATACTCAGATGATTCTGTCTGACTCAAAATGTTATATACACACATGCATACACACATGTGCACACACACAATACGTGTTGTATTGTGTATGTACAATAGTTCTCCTTTACATGTTGCACTTCCTGCACTTCCAGTCACCTTTAGTCCACTGTAGTCTGAAAATGTTAAATAGAAAATTACAGAAATAAAAAGTTCATAAATTTTAAATGGAAAATACAATATAAAGAGTGTAGTCCCAAGTCTGAGCAGGGCGGACATGCAGGCCTGGAATGGGGAGATCCAGCTGCAGAAAGATTGCTGATCATATACGCGGGTTCACCTTTGTTCTGTCTGCCAGACGGGCTTCCCCTTCAGTTTCCCTGTGGTTCACTGTGGTGAAAGCACAGTAAGACTGGGCTGAGGCCTCCGGTTTTAGTCTGTTGATTTGTAAATACAACTGATTTTTGATCTTGGTAATAACAAATCCCCTCTCCATAGAAGATGAATAATGCTTAACATTCCTGGAAGGACTAGTTTCGGAAATATGTTTAAATGGTCTTTTGTAGTGTGGCTATACCAGTTCATCCAGAGGGGTCTGAATTTCAACCCAGAGGTGTTACAGGTGTTCATATTAGGGAGTCTCTAGCATTTCTCATGCCCCGCCCCCACCATGCCCCCTGCAAATCCATTAGCTGATTCAGTGACTGGACCTCTGGTAAAGAGAAGAATTGATAAGAGTTATAAGGAACAAATATTATAGTACCTTCAAAATGATGACTCTTGGATTATTACCACATAGAAACAGCACAAGGAAGGTCAGCCCAGGCAGATAATGCAGGAAGGAAAAATGTCACAAACACGCAGTAGAGGCTATTGGTCTTTTGGATGCAAACTGTAAAGTTGGAATAATGGGAACCTAAAAGGATGTAGTTCTGTCCTCTTTGCATATCTTCCTTTTATGGAAGGGAGCCTTCTGCAGTCAGAAAGGACTCTGAGAAGATAGTGGACCCACTCTTTTACCCACAGATATGATTTTTAAAAAGCTTTAATAAGCTCCAGAAAAAGGAAGCTCTTGAGTTGTGTGGTAAAGCACCTTTGGAGCACACAGCCTGGGCTCATGTCTAGGCTCAGTTAGTCACCAGCACTGTGACCTTGGGCAGTGCCTTAACCTCTTCTTGCTCTGGTTCCTTCATCTGTATAATGGGGATAATTATTGTAATGGGTTTATGAAGATTAAACAAATCAAAGCAGGTCTAGTACTTTGAACAGTGACTTGTATGTAGAAAAGTACCCCTGACTCTGGGCCATCATTTATTTTTATTAGCAGCACCTCTTTACAGCTACTGATGATGTTAAGTTTTCATTTTTAACTTCTTTTTGCTGAAACTTCAGCACGTTGTCTGTTTCTCTCAGCTCATATGTAACAGGGATGACTGACCATAGTTACTGAGGGAGAGAGCTGGAAGGGCCCTTAGGCTGTATCAGTTCCACCTTCATCTTATAAATGAGTATGGGCAGTGAAGTGATGAGCTCAAGTTCTCACAGGGCAGAACTTTGTTTTAAACGCAGGTCCCAGTGGGTTTCTTTTCTATTGTGTAATAACTGTTCACATGCCACAATTCAACATTGCCTAATTTCTCCAAGACTTGCTCAGGATTCTTTGGAAACATTCCAGGTGTGTAACCCTGTGGGAAGGGCTGATCAGTGCTGAGTGTAATGATATTGTCGTTCTTATGATCTTCTAGCACCTCATTGACTTTATTTATGTTTTTAATCCTAACCTGAGCATGTTTTTTCAGTGATTTTTAGAGAGGAGAGAAGAAGGAAGGGAGGAAGGTGGGGGAGAGAGGGAGAGAGGGGTGGAGGAGAAGGAGAGAGGGAGAGAGAGAGAGAGAGATTGGTTGCCTCTGTGTGCCCCCTCCCAGACAGGGAATTGAATCTGCAACCTAGGTATGTGCCCTGACCAGAAACTGAACCTGCAAACTTTTGGTGTATTGTCTCTGAGTGGAAGGCAGGGTCTGGTCATTGATCCACCCATTGTTCAGCAGAGACAGTCAGAGGCACTGCCATGGGGACAAAGGGCAGGGAGTGAGGAGCAGGGTCCCTAATGAGTGGGGTTTACTTAGGTTGAGATGAGAGGGGAGGAACGGCCTTTTTTCTTTCACTGGTAACATGTACTGAAGACCTGCTGAGTGTGATGTTAGACATTCATTGGAATGCAAAGGAACCTAGGGAAGAGTTCAGATTGCAAGGAGTTACTTTAGAAAGAGGTAGGCAGCAAAGACTGAGCTCTCTGGCATTCTTTAGGGCTCTGTACTCACACAA